CCTGTCCAGGACCTTGGAATGTGAGGGTCCTTGAAACTAAAACTTTATCAGTTTCAAGAAAAGATGGCACTGGATATGAGGGGTATGATGGCACTGGATATGGGATGTGACAGGAAGAGAAATATTTAGGATGATTCTAAGGTTTTGGGGCTGAGGTCAGCAAGATGAAGTTGCCCTTGCTGATGTGGCAAAGATGGGAGGAGCTGGTTGGGCAAATAGTCAGGGAGTAGAGGTGGGGGAGACAGAGAGACAGGGCTGTATTAGGGTTGAGATGCCAAAAAATGATACACATGAACTTATATACAGAACAAATATAAAACCACAGACATAGAAGACACACTTACGATTACTAAAGGGGAAAGGTAGGGAGGGATAAATTAGGAGTTTGGGATTAGCATATACACACTACTGTATATAAAATATATAATCAACAAGGTCCTACTGTATAGCACAGGGGCTTCCCAGGTGGCTGACTGGTAAAGAATATGCCTGCTAGTGCAGGAGACATGGGTTCAATTCCTGAGTCAGGAAGATCCCCTGGAGGAGGAAATGGTGACCTGCTCCAGTAGTCTTGCCTAGAGAATCCCATGAACAGAGGAGCTTGGCGGGCTACAGTCTATGGGGTCAGAAAGAGTCAGACAGGACTGAGCAGGCACATATGCCTGTATAGCACAGGGAACACTACTCAATATCCTGTAATAACCTATAATGGAAAGGTATCTGAAACAGAGTATATATATGTTTCTGAATCACTTTGCTGTATACTTGAAATTAACAGAACATTGTAAATCAACTATACGTCAATTTTAAAAAGTAAGAAAAGAAAATATTATGCAAAAAAAGAGACTGTGATGCCTATTAAACAGCCAGGCAGAGAAGTCAAGTGGCACTTTTCACCATTCCTTTTGTGACTTACTCCTGGTCATCTCTCACAGCTCAGCTAAGCATTCTGTTAGGTAGTTAGAATAGGAAAAAGGAGTCCAGAATGTCAGTGGCTGAACGACAAAGAAGAGGAAAGGCCCATGAAAATAGAACAAAGGAAGGTTTGAGGACCAGAGTGAAAACCTCAGGTGAAACAACAGCCCTCCTAGCTATCCCAATTTACACAGGGCAGGCTCAGGAGAGGAGAAAAAACATATAAAAAGAGGAGCCAGAATTGAGCCACTGGCTTCTCTTCTCTTCGTGTCTTTTGGGTTGGCCTGCCCTCATACCTCTAGGATGTATTTTCCTTTACTTGCCAAATAAAACTGAGCTGTAACACCAATCCATCCATCATTTCAAATTTTTGCTGCAGCAAGACAGAACAGAGGAAATTACAAACTCCCTCGACAGTTCCCTCCTCATCTCAGACTGGCTGTGAAGGTTAAGTCTCCTGTTATACATTCTGTAGTCTCTGTACCTCTCTTTTTGCCATCCCTGTGATTACATTTTTAATGGTTGTCTCTCCTGCACTGCACTAGACAAAACTGAGACTGTGTATTCTGTCTTGCTACTGTGCCTACTGTGTACCACAGTGGCTGGTGCTGAGTAGGTCTTAAGAATTGTTGGTTGGATAAATGAAGAGAGGTCAAGTAAATTTTCCAACTCACAACAAGGAGACCGCAGAGCTAAGATGGATGGTGACATACTTTTTCAACTTTAAAAAAAAGCCAAGCCAAACACATGTATAGGAAAATGCATGATATACCAATGAATTGTCACCAGTTGAATACACTTGGGTAACTAGCACTTGGGCCAATAAATAGCACAGGGACAGCATCCTAGAACCCCTCACACTCCTCTTCTGAACCACACTCCCCCTTCTTCCCTCAGGTGACCACCATTGTGATTTCTTTTTTTTCTTAATTGTATTCATTTACTTTTAGCTGCACTAGGTCTTTGTTGCTGTGTATGGGCTTTCTCTAGTTGTAGTGAGCAGGGGCTACTCTCTAATTGTGGTGCATGAGCTTCTCATTGCAGTGACTTTTCTTGTTGCAGAGCATAGGCTGTAGAACACTAGCCTCAATAGTTGTGGCTCCTGGGCTTAGTTGCCCCAAGGCATGTGGAATCTTCCAGGACTAGGGATAGAACCTCTGTCTCCTGCATTGGCAGGTGGATTCTTAACCACTGAACCACCAGGGAAACCCCCATCCAGATTTCTAACACCATTAATTAGCTTTTCTTGTTTCAGAACTTTATATAAATGTTCTTAGATACTATCCAGTATCTAAACTTTTGTGTCTGTGTGTATGAAATTTATAAATGGTGTTGTGAGTAGCAGTAGTTGCTCATTTTCATTGCTGTATAGCAATTCTCAAACTTTTTGTTCTTGGAACCTGTTTCCATTTATAAAAACTATTGAGGAACCTAAAGAACTTGTGTTTATGTGAGTTGTATCTAAGATATTTACTGTATAGGAAATTAAACTGAGAAATTTAAAAAAATTAATTCATTAAAAAATATCAAATTCATTACATGTAAATATATGTAACACATTTTAATGAAAATAATTGTATTTTCTAGAACAAAAAAGAGGGAGAAATGTGGCAGTGAGTATGAACGAGAGTCTGGGCAAATATGTCAGAATACTGACACTGTGTGCTGCTGGGAGGGCCTGGGTTCCAGAGGTCTTGGCCAAACCCCAGAGGCCACAGGAATAGTGATGGAGCAGAAGGATGGCACGGCACTAGGATGGGGACCACGCACAGTTTTGTCATCTTTTGAGTTCTGCACATCAATTAGCAATAGACACAAATAAGCTGACCTAGGAGACATGACATTAGTATGTTGCAAAGCATCCAGTACATTTGGTAAATGTGTAAATGTATGATGTAAGGAATAAAGTTGACCCAGTTTGGGTAGGAAGTGAAGAGGATGGGAAAGTTCTGTCCAGGCAAGTGGAGATGGGAATGTTGGCAGAAGATAATATCTGTTTGCTTGGGAGGCAGAAGACATACTTGTCAGGGTGAAAGGAAAACCCATTGGTGTGATTTTCATGGCCCCAGTTGGCTTTTCAGGCCCCATTTGTCACTCTGATGCTCCAGCCATTTCTTTCCCTAGATAGGTGCAAACACATGCATCCATGTTGTCCATTCTTCATGCTACTTCCTTTACCTGCAGTGGCATCCTTCTTCCTTTCTTTACTACTAGGTAAACTGGTGACCCTCGGGACCCACCTGACATGCCTCCTCTTAAGCACCTTCCCAGGCACCAAACTACTTCCCTTACCTCCCCACTCCAGCTAATATCCGCTCTCTCATGCTCCCATAACACTTTGTGCTCATCTCTGTCTTAGAACTTGACAATCTTTTGTCATCATCATCCAAGTGTCTGTCTTCCCCTCTAGAACATGAACTAGGATAAGCCATGGGTCTTAGGTACTGATGAGTCCCTACCCTCTAGTACAGCTCCAGGCAGTCAGTGATACTTGCTTCTCTATCTACAACGATGTTTCCCTATGAGGCATTGCACACAGGAGTGCAGTACATATTTACTGATTTATCTGCGATGGGTAGAGCAGGCTGGTCTGAACCTTTCAGAGAACTTCAGGTCATGTTCATTTACTTTGTCAGTGGCTGGTTAATTAACCTTCCATTGTCAAGTTGACCCAGGAGCTGGATAGATGAGAAAGAGTCCTTGTTTAAAGGTTGATTAAAGGTCAGGACATCCCTTTGGAAAACATTTTGACAGTTTCTAGAAATGTTAAACATACACCTATCATATTCACTCTTAAGTTATTTACCCAAGAGAAATGAAAATCTATGTATATACAAAGACTTGTACAAGAATGTCCACAGCAGCTTTATTTATAATAGACCAAACCTAGGAACAGCCCAAATGTCCATCAATAGGTGAATGGATAAATTGTGATGTATCTATACAATGGCATGCTACATGCAACAATATGCTAAGTAAAAGAAGCTAGACCAAAAGAGTATGTATTATATGATTCTATTCACATAACATTCTAGAAAACGCAAACTAATCTCTACTAACAAAGCAGCTCAGGCAAAAAAGAATCTGCCTGCAATACAGGAGACTTGGGTTTGATCCCTGGCTCGGGAAGATACCCTGGAGAAGGGAATGGCAACCCATTCCAGTATTCTTGCCTGTGAATCCCATGAAAAGTGGAGTCTGACATACTGTAGTCCATGGGGTCGCAAAGAGTCTGAGTGACTAACACACACAACAAAACAGATCAGTGGTTGCCTCTGGATGGTGTGGGGAGAGACAGGCCCAAGAGAGAGATTACACAGAGGCATGAGCTAACTTTTGGGGTTTTAAAAATGTTCATTATCTTGATTATGGTGCTGGGTTCATAGGTGTTGACATATGTCAAGACTTAACAAATTATACTTTAAATAAGTGCAGTTTATTGTGTGTCAGTTATTCTTGGATACAATTGCTTTAGAAAAATCCCATTAATCTATCTTGCACTTTGAAGCAATCTTTCGCCCATGCTTGATTTTGCAACATTCTCTATTGGTCATTTAGAAAATATTGTTTCACTGGAGTGTGCAGACTTTCCAAATATTGGCACATTTTACTATACATTATAAAAAAAATTCATATTTGTTACTATTAGCACAGGTCACATCAGCAAAGTCTTTAACCATTTGGGAAGCTGTCAAACTCATGGTGGTAGATGAAGAAAGTGAAAGTGTTAGTTGCTTGGTCATGTCTGACTCTTTTGCTACCCCATGGACTGTAGCCCACTAGGCTCCCTTCTCCATGGCATTTCCCAAGCAAGACTACTGGAGTGTGTTGCCATTCCCTTCTCCAGGGGATCTTCCTGACCCAGGGATGGAGTCTGGGTTTCCCGTGTTGCAGCCAGATTCATTACTGTCTGAGCCACCAGGAAAGTCCCCATAGTGGTGGATAGATTTCCCCAAATTTGAATTTTTTAAAAGTAATTTCCATTTTATTATCTTTTCAGGGAACAGTATTTCTTCAGTCTTTAAGGATTTAGCTCATTACATGGGCTTTGGTGGAGGCTGTGGGGCAGCAACCACAGGTCTAAATCAGAATGGAGGTGTTGGGTCCTTTTGGGCTTCCTGAATTCCCAACTGCTTTGCTCTGAATGGCACAACTCATGCAATAATGTAGTTTCACATACAGCTTGGGAAGCACATAGGTGTCAAAAACACTTGCTTTAGAAATGTCCCTGATGGCTGTGGCATCTATGATGTTCCAAATGACAAACTTCTTAATGGCCTTATCCTTGGGCACACATTGGGCACAGTTGGTACAGCGAATAGGTTGTATGTGGCCATGGCCCTTTTGGGCACTACCACAGTTCCTTCTTTCCTTGGTCATCTTGGAAATGAGGAGTTGAGAGCCAAAATTGGAATTTTTATTTGAAATCTCCATTGTCTCCATTGTTATCACTGGTAGCAAACACTGTCAGTTAAGTGACAGACTCACTTCACTCATTTTCAAGGAGCTATCTGCCAAAAGCCTCAGTCTGAATAATTATAGTCTGCCTGTAGGTCTTCTTCTCAAGCAAAAATTGTGTTTCATGAAAAAAGTGTCTAATTCAGCTCACAAAAACAAGTACTTTTCCTTCAGGCAACGATTGCACATTGATATGTAACAGATATGCTTTATGTGTGCTCCCTATTTCATCATGGGGAAAATTTTGTAACTGTATTCAATGGTTGAAATTTAATACAATTAATTTTTATACTGTTTCATCAAGGGCTTTGTTTACTGGGAGTGTGTGGGGGTGAAGAACGCAGTGAATAGCGATACAGTTGGTATTGCTGCCTTAACATGTGCTAAGGCACCAGCAATTTTTTTAATCTACCTTTGCTTTTGCACCATCAGTGCAAATGTCCATGTAGTGAAAAAGGAAAATATCCTTTTAGTCTTATTGTGAAAAGAGTTTTGACCTTCAGGATCCCCATAAGGGTTTTGGGGATTCCCCAGGGGTCCACAGACCACAGTTTTTAGAAGAGCTATTGTACAGTATTTTAGTGTAGGAATATGCCACAATTTACTTATCTTTACTGTTGTTAGACATTTGCAATGTTCTGTTTTGAGCTATTACAAATAGAAGTGACAAGAACAACTTTGCCCATGTCTATTGGGGCACGTGTGCATGCATTTGCATTGGATGTGCTAAAGGGTAGAGCTGCTGGGTCATAAGGGTGTGTATGCTCAAGTCTGGTTAATTATGCTGAATAATTTTCCAAAGTGGGATGTATTACCTCACACTCCCACCAGCAGTATCTGAGCCTTAGTGGGTCTGAATTCAGATGCATGTAATTTCAAAGCCCTAAATAAAATTAGTAGTTGCTTTGCCCTAAATAAAGTTAATAGTTGTTGATGGCAAAAATTCAAACAGTATAAAGTTTAAAGTGAAAAGTACTATAGGACTTCCCTGGTGGTTCAGTGGTTAAGACTCCACCTCTCAATGTGAGGGGCACAGGTTCAATCCCTGGTTGGAAAACTAAGATCCCACATGCCACGGAGCCAAAAATAAAAAAAAAAATTAAAAAAATGGATAAGTACCAACAGAAATAGGAACACTACTATATAAACAAAGATATATATATATATATATATATATATATATATATATATATAAGGATGTTAGCAGTAGCTCAGTTTGCAGTGGCAAAAAAAAGGAAATATAATCAATTCCAATCAGTCTTTAATAGCATAGAAATCTGGTGCATCTATATCACTGCCTATTGCCCATTAACAATGAAGAATTAGGTCTATAGCAACAGATTTAGAGAGATTGTTCAAAGTATTGTTAAATGGAAAAGATAGGATGCTGGGAAGTATATGTAATATGATCTCATTAAAAAAACAAATATAGTGCTCGCTTCAGCAGTACATATACTAAAAAACAAATATAACAGCCTATATGTATACAAATAGGTTTGTATGGAACATAACAGAAAATGCTGATGGCCACATGCCAAGCTGTTAATTATGTGTAGGGCTAGGGACAAGAAAAAGTGTGAAAGGAGGTGTCCAAGGTAAAAATCAGCATGTTTGAGATCCCATTCTTTTAAAAGTGTGTGTGACTAACAACAAGAAAACAGAAAGAGAAATTAAGAAAACAATTCCATTCACCATTGCAATGAAAAGAATAAAATACTTAGGAATATATCTATCTAAAGAAACAAAAGACCTATATATAGAAAACTATAAAACACTGATGAAAGAAATCAAAGAGGACACAAACAGATGGAGAAATATACCGTGTTCATGGATTGGAAGAATCAATATAATAAAAATGAATATACTACCCAAGGCAATATATAGATTCAATGCAGTCCCTATCAAGGTACAACAGTATTTTTCACAGAACTAGAACAAATAATTTCACAATTTGTATGGAAATACAAAAAACGTCAAATAGCCAAAGCAATCTTGAGAAAGAAGAGTGGAACTGGAGGAATCAACCTGCCTGACTTCAGGCTATACTACAAAGCTACAGTCATCAAGGCAGTATGGTACTGGCACAAAGACAGAAATATAGATCAATGGAACAAAATAGAAAGCCCAGAGATAAATCCACACACCCACAGACACCTTATCTTTGACAAAAGAGGTAATAATATACAATGGAGAAAAGACAATCTCTTTAACAAGTGGTGCTGGGAAAACTGGTTAACCACTTGTAAAAGAATGAAGCTAGAACACTTTCTAACACCATACACAAAAATAAACTCAAAATGGATTAAAGACCTAAATGTAAGACCAGAAACTATAAAACTCCTAGAGGAGAACATAGGCAAAACACTCTCCGACATAAATCACAGCAGGATCCCCTATGACCCACCTCCCAGAATATTGGAAATAAAAGCAAAAATAAACAAATGGGACCTAATGAAACTTAAAAGCTTTTGCACAACAAAGGAAACTATAAGCAAGGTGAAAAGACAGCCTTCAGATTGGGAGAAAATAATAGCAAACGAAGCAACAGACAAAGGATTAATCTCAAAAATATACAAGCAACTCCTGCAACTCAATTCCAGAAGAATAAACGACCCAATCAAAAAATGGGCCAAAGAACTAAACAGACATTTCTCCAAAGAAGATATACATGGCTAACAAATACATGAAAAGATGCTCAACATCACTCATTAGCAGAGAAATGCAAATCAAAACCACAACGAGGTACCATCTCACACCAGTCAGAATGGCTGCTATCCAAAAGTCTACAAACAATAAATGCTGGAGAGGGTGTGGAGAAAATGGAACCCTCTTATCCTGTTGGTGGGAATGCAAACTATTACAGCCACTGTGGAGAACAGTGTGGAGATTCCTTAAAAAACTGGAAATAGAACTGCCATATGACCCAGCAATCCCACTGCTGGGCATACACACCAAATTGAAAGAGACACATGTACCCCAATGTTCACTGCAGCACTGTTTATAATAGCCAGGACATGGAAGCAACCTAGATGTCCATCAGCAGATGAATGGATAAGAAAGCTGTGGTACATATACACAATGGAATATTACTCAGCCATTAAAAAGAATTCATTTGAATCAGTTCTAATGAGGTGGATGAAACTGGAGCCTATTATATAGAGTGAAGTAAGTCAGAAAGAAAAACACCAATACAGTATACTAACGCATATATATGGAATTTAGAAATATGGTAACGATAACCCTACATGTGAGACAGCAAAAGAGACACAGATGTTTAGAACAATCTTTTGGACTCTGTGGGAGAAGGCGAGGGTGGGATGATTTGAGAGAATATCATGTATATTAATATGTATATTATCATATGTGAAACAGATCACCAGCCCAGGTTCGATGCATGAGACAGAGTGCTCAGGGCTGGTGCACTGGGATGACCCAGAGGGATGGGATGGGGAGGGAGGTGGGAGGGGGGTTCAGGATGGGGAATACATGTACACCCATGGCTGATTCATGTCAATGTATGGCAAAAACCACTACAATATTGTAAAGTAATTAGCCTCCAATTAAAATAAATAAATTAATAAAATAAATAAATATAAAGAGGATTTCCCTGGTGGAGAAGAAATAAAAAAATAAAAGTGTGTGTGAGTGTATGTGTGAGTGTGTGTATGCATAGGGACAGATAGGGAAGTACAGTCATCAAAATGTAATTTGTGATTTTCTCTGGGTGGTGAGATGTTTTTTTCAGTAATAGTTTTGGTTTTCTTTCTTAACGTTTTACTTATCACTAGAATTTTAAAAGAATAGAGGTATGTTACTGGGGGCAAAGATGGATCTTTCAATAGATGGTACTGGATATATTGACTATGTATCTGGAAAAATATAAAAATAGATTCAACCTTCATACCATACACAGGAATAAACTCCAAATGGAACAAAAATCCAGATACAAGATATGAAAGCACACAAATAGTGAAAGAAAATGTGAGCCAATTCTCCTTTAACCTTGGTGTGAGGAAAAGCTCTTTAACAATGACTCAAAACTAGAGGCAATAAAAGAAAAAAAATCAATAAATTTGACTATATAAAAAATTACATAGCCAAAAGCCCCATCATAATCAATGTAAAATAACCTATAAACTAGAAGCAAATATTTGCAACATGTATCACACATAAAGGGCTAAATTTATAGCTATATAAAGAATTTTTAAAAACTGATGGATAAAGCTAAAAAACCTGATAGAAAAGTGGAGAAATACATGGATAGACAATTCTCTCTCCCTCTGTCTCTCTCTGTCTCTCAATCCCTCTCTTCCTCTTTCCCTCTCTCTGTATAAATGGTCCTTTATCCTTCAAATCTCACATATAAGTGTGTAAATGCATATTAAAGTGACACCAGGATGTCATTTCTCCCCATCAGTTTGGTGAAAATTAAAAAGTATGACAATACATTCTATTGGCAAGTCCATGCTTACATAAATAAAAACTTGGATTCATACATGAAAGAGAAGGGAAATCTCTGCCTGAGAGTAGCATTCCAATGAATAAATGCAGAAGGAAAGAGGGAAATAGAAACTTACCATTTGGCAAATATCACAGTAATTGTCTTAAGCAAGAATCATCACTGAATGCTAAGATTAGTGGGCCAAGTATGGTGAGAAACAGGACATTTACATAGTCTAGAACTGTCTCCCCACAAGAAACCTCTTAATGAATTACAAAAGAAAAAGTAGTAATTTCACAGTAGAGAAACCCAGCAAACACCCCTTAACCAAATGGTCAAAGTGAACATCACCTGGAATGAGAATATTGACATGACATCATGTGCCTCCTAATATGATGCACCGAGAAGGGCCAGTCATCGCTCCTGTGGTTTTTTTCCCTAAAATGTATAACCCGAATTTAATCATGAGAAAATATCAGGC